GACGGTGGGGAGCCCCCCCCCCCCCCCCGTGAAAACTCGGTATTTTCCGATTTGGCAAACTTGGCGAAAATTGGAGGCGTTCTGGAAATTGTAAATGCAGTGCTTTTAAAGGAGATTCTTTAAATGAAGTGCATTGAACGAGGTCAGCAGCTTTTATGTGACGAAATCCCGTTTTCGAGGAGTGAAAAGTGTATCTCGGTGTGTTTCACATTTGAGCGTGATACGGCGTTTTGTAGATGAGCACGATTTAATGTCTTACAGATGAGCATGATATGGCGTTTTTTAGAAGAGCATAAATCCTCCCCCTTCGCGAGGTTTTCACGGATTCTATGGTTTCAGGAAGAACCGTAGGATCGGTATGCTATGAGAGGTTTTTTTTTTTAATTAAATATTTTGTTTAAAAATTTTTTTTTTTTCAAAAACGCTTTAGGAGTGCTTTCCGAAGATGCAAGCCTTGCAGTCATGATCCTGGAAGTCCATAAATGCGCTTCGAACGTGGCTCGAGTCGCCGCCGCCGTTCGTCGGAGTCCATCGTTTCCGCGAACCATCCCGCGAGATGGGACGTCTCGACGACCGCGTCGCGGAGTTTTCCGTCCGGATATCTCGCGTCCGCGCGGTCGCCGATACGACGCGGCCGCTCGGATCCGGCTTCGCAGTGATTCACATATAAACACGCTAATACGGCTCGGAACAGATACGCATTGATACGTTTATTTGAAAAAAATCTAGGTACTGGGATACCAGCAGACGCGGAGAAACCGAAGAAGGCCTCACCACCCTTTGCCCGCCCTCGCCCTCTCACCGCCGAGCTGGAAAGCGTGGAGCCATCGAGGTCGGACCCGCTGCCCTCCGAGTGAGTCCAGCCTCCTTTCCTCGGTGGAGGCGCGAGGGCCTCCCTCCATCCACCTCCACCACCTCCATCCTCCTCCATCCACCTCTATGTGGGTTGGAACCTCGGAGAGCGTGTGTTCGGATTTCGAGTCCCACGCCCTATCTTTTTTTCAGAGAAAATTTCTATTTTCTCATTTATTATTCACTTATTCATTGATGAGCATCGAAAAGCGAGGAATTTGGGAGGAACTGGCTTTTTCTCCCGTCGGGAAGTCCTCAGGAGGCGGCGTCCCCCCCCAAAAAATTCCTCGTCTGCTCGAAGCGACTTCCCATTTTCTTCTTCCACTTCATCGCCTGACTCCGGAAAACGCAGCCGTGACTACCTCGTTACATCCTTGTCATTCCCTCGTCACCTTTCCCGTTGCTTCGTCCTCGTTCGTTTCTCGAAGGAGAAACGAGTGCAGGTGAAACGGTGAAAATATCCCTCGGCGACGGTCCTCGTCCCCTCTGTTTCGGAGGAAAGGTCAAGGGAAATTAACTATAGGTCGTGAGCACTTGAGATGAATTGCCCGGCGTGGAACGTGATGATCCCCTCCGCCCCACCGCCCCACTGCCCCAGTGCCCCACCTCGAGGTGGAGCAGCGTATAAATGGGTGCAGGTGTTTGCATCGTGTTTCCTCCGTCGAGACGACGACGTCGTCTTTTCCTTCGAGGAATTCCCTCGGGAAATTCCCTCGTCGCAGACGCAAACGAGGGGGGCAGGATCCGACGGATGCCGCTGCGAACCGCTGCGAGCGGCGGACGCGCTCGAAGAGCCGACATCTCGGTGGCCTCTCCGGGTTCATTCCCTTCGGATTCTCTGAATTTTTAAAAGCGAACTCGGAACCGGAATCGGGTTTATGTATGAGTCCGACCCTCGAAGGCAGAAGTCCTGGCCACGAAGGCGGGAGACTGCCTGGCTCCTGTCCCTGGCTCCAGTATATTCCCCGCGAATGTAAACAAATGCAGTGTTAGCATTACGTGCGATCGGTCTGGGACAGGATCCGGACAGGATCGAGCCGGGTTCGGGCCGGGTCCGTCCGGCCCGTGCGGACCTCTAGTTCGTCTTTGCCTCATTTTTCGAGAATTCTGAACCCGGAATGCGAGCATTCTTATTTACTGACCCGATCCGAGTTCGCTCGAGAGGAAATTCCGGAAAACATCCGCATTCTTCCGGAAAACATCCAGAACCCTCCGGATCCGCGAAATGCCGAATCCTGTCGCTCTCGGGTCCGTGCGAATGAAAAAAGAAAAACGAGAAAATAGGCGTAAATTCGAGGGTGCTTTCATGCGGGAGACGACCGCTTTGTAACCTGTCGTATATACGCGCAGATGACGGAATGTTTGAAATCCGATCACGTATAT